GACGAGATAGATATTAGAATTCCACGTATCACACATTTTTGTGCGCCTCCCACCGTACGAGAGGGGACGTTTCCGAGGATGCATTTTCTTGAAAGTAGTTCGTCAGAGAACTACGGATCTGAAGAGTAACTGATGCGTCCGTAAGGAGAAATGGGTCCAGTCTCCATATTTTGGATGTACTTGGTGTATCCAGGAATTGCAAAGTGATCATAATCTGGTGATGGTCCGAAAGGATCTTCGGTTCGATCGAGGCAGACTTCAGGGCGTATAAATCTTGTTGCGAAAGAAAGAAATAATCGATTCTCGAATGGCGTTTGTGAGGAGCAGAGTAAAAGGTGTAGTCTTTGTCCGAAGGGTGAAGAGTATGCCATGCATCATGTAGGAGAAGGTCTTTCAATTCAATTTTAATTTGCTTAAGTGCTTGGAACGGGATGGAGGAGACCCCCGAAGATGTATCTTCCAATGGGTTCAATGCTACATTAAAGTCACAGCCTAGAATCAAGATTGAAATGTAGCAAGTAACTTGGCTACGTTACGAAAAAAGCCTACTTGTGCTGTATTGGGACTATAAATGTTGACTAAAGTAAGTGGTTTATTAAAGAGGGTGCCTTTGAGAAAAAGGAATCTTCCCTCAGGATCCTCGAGCGATTCAGAAAGTTCAAACGGAAGCGTTTTAGAAAGTAGAATGGATACTCCCTTGGCTTTCACCTCCGCATTAACTGAATGGTATGCCGTGGGATAGTGAACATTTGAGAATTTAGGGACTTGGTCTGCTCGGAAATGAGTTTCTTGGATAAAGAGCACATCTGCACAAAGGCTTTTCATGTAGGTAAGAAGTTGCAAACGTTTTTCAGGTACGTTTAGGCCCCTCGCGTTAAGAGAGGCCACGGAGAGTGTGCGAATTGACCGGTTCGATGTGTGGTATGTGTACCAGATGAGTATCACGTGGGTAGGGAAAGAACGGGAAAGGGGAAAGAGAGAGAGAGAAAAAAAAAAAGGGGGGGGGGAGTGGGGAGTAGAGGGGGGCAGGGGTGATTATAAGGGGAATAAAGAATAGTATAAAGACTGGAAAAAGACTAATATGAATTATCAGAAAAGTTGGAATAGAGACGGAATTATAAAGTAAAAGATTCAAGAAATTGGAAGAAGAAAGGAAGTGTTATGATCCGCCAGGCGGAGCCTTCCAGCTGCCAACTGACAGACCAACCCAGAGCGTGGGGTCTAAGCCCGGGCTGTGCCTTCACCAGGGCCCCTGATGGTGGGGATGGACTTGAAACAGTCCCGGGCCAGGTCACGACCTCTGAGCGGGCCCACCAGCGGCTGAGAAGGCCTCCGGGGATGTGTGTAGGTACCGGGAGAGCCAGATATGAAGAGGATGGCGGCCCCAGCAGGGTGGTACGGATAGTGGTCCCGTGGGGGTAAGCAGGGTACCAAATCGGCGGGCAAGGAGTAGTCGGGTCACATGCAGGGTCAGCCAGGTAAATCAGTCCGTAGAATAGTCAGGATAATCCGAGTCAAAACACAGGAGCGGGCAGAATAGTCAGGACAAACCGGGTCAATCACAGGAGCGGGTAGAATAGTCAGGGCAAGCCGGGTCAATCACAGGGGCAGGCAGCGTAGTCAGGGTCAAAAACAGGGTCACAAAACGGGTGCAGGAACTCAGGATCACAAGAAGACCTTGCGGCAATTGGTGACAGTGCAGGGCATCTTTAAATAGTGCGCCCTGCACTGTCATTGGCTGGCTAGGACGCGCCCCCGGCTGTCATTGGACGCCTGAGGCGCGCCCGCGGCTCTCTACTGCGCATGCGCGGCTCTCTGTCAGCCGCGGCTCGCCGGGACCTAGTGCCCGTGTCCCGGCGCGATCCGCCGCCAGTGCGCATGCGCGGGGGACGGCGTCGTGACACAGGACTCCGGAGCCGCGATCCCTGACAGGAAGTGTCAGGTGTATGCCCTATAAACCCAAATGTATGTATGAGGCTATTTTCCTTCAACTTCCTTTAAAGACTATATTCCAGAGGTAGAATAGACCCGCTACTCTATCTCATAGTACAGCTCCCAAAAATTGGTTATTTGCAAGATGTTATCTGGGAGTCTGAAATTAGAGTGGAGAGTATTCAAACCCAGAGACGGCCGAATTGACAAAATACAGTATAATCTCAAAGAGGCCTAACTTTCTTGAGTAAAAGGTGTCGAGGGGAAGTAATCTAACATGAGGTGTCCTTGACACATAAACGTAGGTGGGAAATGGCTCACTTGAGACGAGAGATAAATAATGTGTAGCAGGGGGTGGATATAGGCTAGAGTATTATATGCAAAAGCATATTAAGCAAAATGGTGTATGTATTTACTTGGACCGTATCAATGCTCAAAAACAGTGAAGTGTAACTATGGGAGTGGAATTGAATGTGTACCATAGGAAAAAAACCCATAAGTTATGAGTGTACTACATGTGAATTTGGACAGATACTGAAAAAGTGCAAATTACTTGCGCATAGCATAAATTAACTTTAAATATGTTATGTTATCACAGGTAAAACATAATGCAATCTATAATCTGTCTTTTCCGTAAAGGTAGTGTAAACCATGCTAAATAAACAATCGAGTCAATTAACGAGAGTTTTCATATGCCATCTCAATTTCGAATAAAGATATCTACTTCACATGAAACATTACATGACAGTAGCAACCATATCACGCATGACTAAACTTGGATGTAGGCCTCAGATCAAACCTCTCCTTAAACCGTATTCCAGAGACAATAGAAATATTAGTCCCGACCGGGGGATCTAGTATATCGCTGAACACCCCGTTGCGTACCGAACAGATATAGGATGGTGGGGGGAATGTGTCCAAAAATCCGTGGCCCAAAATGATCCTGATACAGATCAGAGCAACTAAATTTTTGGGGCCAAACTAGACCCGACCACGGAATGAACTGTTAACGTAAATATCAAATAGGACGATCCCAACTTCCATATCTGAAATATGTCATATGTCCTGATGGCTATGACACTTTTTGGGCGAATTGTAATGCTATTGTCTGATAATTTCTTTTTTTTTTTTATATATACCGATAAGTGTTATGATTCTGATTCTACATCTTGTCCCACCATGCGGGTGGACTCCCCTCTTTTTCTTTGTGTTTGCCATCTTGTTCTGTTATAATATGCTGGTTTCTCAATAAAAATATTGAAATATAAATATCCCCAAAGCTAATTTCAGCTTCTAGTCAATGGTTTAGTTGGGTATATATGACAAAGTAGACAACTTAGTGGAACATTTGGTGTTGACCTCAGATAGATTCTCAGTTTATTGGATTGGCCTGCGTATGGTATTCTAAATCAATTCATGCCAAGGTACTTGTTCAGCTTTGAATATCTGGTTGTAGAGAGATCACGTGGTTGATTTGCATAGCTGTTGTCATATGCTGCTGAGTTACTGATAGTTTCCTATGCTGCATTTCTAGAGAGTTGATTTTAATTCATAAATATTTCAAAATAATTGCTGGTTCGAATTTCTAACCATTATTTTGGATTAGATCATTGTACTGCTATTTTGAATTGTTTATTATTTATCATCACCTCTTATATTTCATTACCATTTTGCACTAATTTTATTATTAATAAATATATATATATTTTTGCACATTATTGCTTTTTTCTTGTCTTCAAATTAGCGCAAATAAAGAACTCAGATTATCTGTTAATTTATGAAAATTAGTAGGGAAGCTCCTTAACCACTTGCCCTCCAGAGGATTTACCCCTTCCTGACCAGGCCATTTTTTGCATTACAGCACTGCGTTATTTTAACTGACAATTGCGCAGTCATGCAACTCTGCACCCAAATTAAATTTAAGTCCTTTTTTCCTATGAATAGAGCTTTCTTTTGGTGGTGTTTGATCGCCTGTGCGGTTATTATTTCTTTGCGCTATAAAAGAAAAAGACCGACACTTTTGAGAAACAAACAATATTTTTTACTTTTTGCTATTAAACATGTCCAATAAAAAAATTTAAAAAAATCATATTTCGTCATAAATTTAGGCCAAAATTTATTCTGCTACATGTCTTTGCTAAAAAAAAAAAATCCAATATGTGTAAATGAATTGGTTTATGTGAACATTATAGCGTTTACAAATGGCGATATATATACTGGGGTTTTTTTAAATTTTTTTACTAGTAATGGCGGCGATCAGCGACTTATAGCGGGACTGCGGGACACCAATACAGTACTCAGTGCTAATAAAAAGCACTGACACTGTACTAATGGCACTGGGCAGGAAGGGGTTAACATGTGGGGCGATCGAAGGGTTAACTGTGTGCAGTTTTACTGTAAGCTCTGTGTGTGCTGTCAAGTGTAAGCACATTGCTTTGTATGGCTGTGCTATGCAGAAGCATACAAAGCAGTGTGCAGGAGCTGACAGGGCAGAGAACTGTATTGTTTACATTATTATATTTTCTCAGAGCTAAAGTTCCCTACTTCATGACCAGCCCATTTTTTTGCTATTTAGTAATGCGGTACTGTAATGGAAGCGCAGGCAGGACAGAGCACACGGAGAAGATGGGGAACACACAAAGCTTTATTGAAGCAACAAAAGGACAGACACTCAATGGGGAAATGGCAGGGAGGGTGATGTGTGCGCAAACCATGGACGATTCCAGGCACGGGGGGTCTTCAGCGACAGGCAGGCAGTCTCCCCCATAGGCTTGGGACTTAGCCGAGCTCCCTCCGTGACTGAACAGCGGATTGGAGACTCGGGCAACAGGAGGCAACCTACTACTGGGCCTCGGGCAACAGGCGGCAACCTACCACTGGGCAGGGGCTTGGGCAAGAGGTGGCAACATACCACTGGGCAGGGGCCTCGGGCAACAGGTGGAAACCTACCACTGGGCAGGGGCCTCGGGCAACAGGCGGCAACCTACCACTGGGCAGGGGCCTCGGGCAACAGGCAGCAATCTACCCCTGGGCAGGGGCTCGGGCAACAGCGGCAACCTACCACTGGGCAAGGGCTCGGGCAACAGGCGGCAACCTACCACTGGGCAGGGGCCTTGGGCAACAGGCGGCAACCTACCACTGGGCAGGGGCCTCGGGCAACAGGCGGCAACCTACCACTGCGCAGGGGCCTTGGGGACTCAACGGGACTCTAGCTGTGGAGACTGGCCACAGCACAGCTCCCACCCAGCTTTCTAGGGTCATTGGGTTCACGGGGACTCAACGGGTAGCGATGGCTCAAGCACTCAGGGGCACCACAGGTAGCTATACTCCGGGCATGCCATCAGGACACGGGTGGTCAGTGCACACACAGCGGGGCAATTCGGAACACGGGTGGTCAGTGCACAGAGAGGGGACAGTTCAGGACACGAGTGGTCGGTGCACAAACCGTGGACAGTTCCGACCATGGGTGGTCGGTGCACACAGCAGGCACAGTTCATGACACAGGTGGTTGGTGCTCACAGCGGGGACAGTTCAGAACACGGGTGGTCGGTGCACACAGCAGGCACAGTTCAGGACACAGGTGGTCAGTGCGCACAACAGGGACAGTTCAGGACACAGGTGGTCAGTGCACACAAAAGGGACAGTTCAGGACACGGGTGGTCGGTGCACACAGTGGGGACAATTCAGGACACTCACGATAAGCAGCTGGCAGACCCTCAGCGGCAGGCGGCTCCAGACAGGGACGACCAGCGGTCAGCATTCCAGGGACAACCAGCGATCAGCAGACAGCAGCAGCTCCTAGGGCACTCAGCAGCAGACCGCTTCCAGGGACACACAGCCACGGACAGTGTGCAGGGTCCCTCAGCAGCAGCTCCCTGGGCACTCAGCAACAGACAGCTTCCAGGGACACGCAGTCACGGATAGTGTGCAGGGTCCCTCAGCAGCAGCTCCCAGGGCACTCAGCAGCAGACAGGGTGCAAGGGTGCCCAGTAGACAGGCTTACAGACTGGCAGGGTCTCAGCTGTGGGGTCTGACCTTTGAGGAAAAGGCTCATGCAGAGCTGTGAAGACTCCCAACCCTGAGGTATTGCAGAGGGCTACAGTCTTGACCTTTTGGGGGTCTTCAGAGTGCGCAGGGGGGATGGCTGGGGAGGCTTGGTCACCCTCACCCGAGCCTCCCAGCATCTTTCTGGGAGCAAGATGATTCCAGCAGCATGGACAGGAACAAAAAGAGAAGGGCTGCTTCCTGTGTGGGTCTCTTGAAGATCATGTGGGACGCGGCTAGGTTGCCTCGGCAACGGCCGGCCCAGCCCTGTCCATGGAAGCCCCACAGACCTTGGAATGTACAAGGGGGAAGGGAGGGGTGGAGGGATATCGCGGGGGATGGGAGAGACACTGGCAGTCCATGACAGCTACTTTAACTGGTAATTGCGTGGTCATGCAATGCCATACCCAAATTAAATTTATATACTAATTGATCACCAATGGATTTTTTCTTTTTTGCGATATAAACAAAAAAAGACCTCAAATTTAAAAAACAACAAAAAAAAAAAACATTTTCTACTTTCTGCTGTAAAACATCCATTAAAGAATTTAAAAAATGTAATTTGTTCAAAAATTTTGGCCACAATGTATTCTGCTTCATATATTTGGTAAAAAAAAAATCCCAAAAGGGTATATTAATTGGTTTGTGTGAAAGTTAGAAGTTATGCAAACTATGATGTAGATACTGGAATTTTTCTTTTATACTAGTAATGGCGGTGATCAGCAACTTACAATGGGACTGCGATAGTGCAGCAGGCAATCTGACGCTGCGGGGGAAACTGACTAACTGCCACTGTTCTGTATATCATCGTGTTGAGTAGGGAGCCATCTATTGGGCATTCACTGCAACTGCACCAGTTTTCATTATTCCTTTCAACAAGAATACTTAGTGTCTCATGCTTGCTAAAAATAAAGATTACCCATAAACCACTGCAGCCATTTTAGCTTCCTGAAGAACACCAGTGAAGGTCTCCTCCATTCTCCCTTTTCATACACCTAATGCCTGTGTAGTGCTACTTCTTGAGAGCCCCTGGCTTTGGGTCCCGTTCCTGCACAGCTAGGCAACACACATGGTCCACTTGCATCCAGAAACAAGAAACAGTCAATGGACTTGGTTTTTTAGTTTTATTAGGGAATTTAACTCGAATAGCATATAAATCCCAACTTGTTGGAGCTCTAAATCCCCTACGTATAAAAAATACCAGCCTACTTGGCTACGGTATCTGATCCCAGGACATGGGATTGGGTAAGCTGAGCACTGTCCCCTTAAGAATTGCCAGAACTTGCATCCAGCAGACTTCATCCTTCTAGACACTGGAGGTGTAGAGGTACTCACACTGTCCTTGTCCTGCAGCTGTGGATAGAACTGCTTTCAGGCCATTGTAGCTGGGCTGGTTCCTCTCCAAGCTTTACAGGTTGTCCTTCCTTGGTGGATTGCATGGCAGCGGAGCTCCCTCTTTCAGTTGCCCTCTTCCTTTCTCCAGCCTCCAGCCTGGAAGCAGAACCCCATTTCTCCAGGGCTCTCTCCCAAGCTACACAGCAGCACCCCTCAACACTCCGTCTTCCACCCAACTTTCCTGCTGGCCAGGTTCTGTCATATTTATAGGCTGATCTTCCACATTGCCAGGCCTCCTGCCTGGGATTAGTCAGAATCCCATAAATATGCCCACTCCTCACCTCCGCCTACTGACTTCTAGAAGCTTCTCCAAGTATCCAGAGCAGGGGGAGTACCAGAGGTCTGACTTGTAAAGCCCTCCAGCCCTGACCTGAAGTAAACATTCTAACTAAACCAAGTCTTCTTGCAAGCCTCTATCTACACTAAACGACTATGTACACCAGGTGCTATACCTGTACGTTCATTGTATATGTTAAAGTCACATACTGTACATAGCTAGATCACATTTCAATGTATTCAATGTGCTTTATAGGTAACTGTTTGAAAATGTGTCCATTGTATGCATTTGAAAAGAGATGTGTACAGACATATTGTAATTTCAGTTTATGTAATTGTATTACAGTTTTACAGAACTATTCACAGATGTAAATTCAGTTTTGGAATGAAACACAGTGCTGCGGCAATTTCGTTAGCAGCTAACGTTAGCACCGTTGTCTTTTAAAGTGTAAACGTTTGAGATCAGTTTCCTTATCCATCCAGCGATGGTGGATTTTGAAGCAGGATGTCCTTTGCAAGGTCCTGAGTGTAAGACAAATGCAGAGTCTGTATTCAATGTACTTTGTAGGTAACTGTTTGTAAATGTGTTCATTCTATGCATTTGTAAAGAGATGTGTACAGGCATATTGTAATTTCAGTTTATGTAATTGTATTGCAGTTTTACAGAACTATTCACAGATGTAAATTCAGTTTTGGAATGAAACACAGTGCTGCGTCAGTTTCATTAGCTAGTGGCTAATGTTGGATAGAATCCTCCTGCGCTAAACAGATATCATTAATTATATACACAAGCAGCTACCACCTTTACCTATAACATAGGTGTAAAGTGAAAATAACTATTAATGGTGTAGCGCTATATACAGTTGCAAGAAAAAGCATGTGAACCCCTTGGGATTACAAGGAGTTTTGCATGAATTGGGCATAAAATGTGCTCTGAACGTCATCTAAGTCACAACAATAGAAGAACACAGTCTGCTGAACATAATACTACACAAACATTAGATGTTGCCATGGTTTAATTGCACATAACATGTAAACATTCACAGTGCAGGAAGGAAAAAGTATGTGAACCTTTGGACTTAATAACTGGTTGACCCTCCTTTGGCAGCAATAACCTCAACCGAATGTTTCCTGTAGTTGCAGATCAGACCTGCACAACGATCTGGAGTAATTTTGGACCACTCCTCTTCACAAAACTGTTTCAGTGTAGCAATATTCTTGGGATGTCTGGTGTGAATCGCTCTCTTAAGGTCATGCCACAGCATTTCAATCGGGTTGAGGTCAGGACTCTGACTGGGCCACTCCAGAAGGCGTATTCTGTGCTGTTGCAGCCATTGTTTTGTTGAATTACTTGTATGCTTTGGGTCATTGTCCTGTTGCATCACCCATCCTCTGCAGAGCTTCAGTTGGCGGACAGATGGTCGTACGTTTTCCTGCAAAATGTCTTGATAAACTCTGGAATTCATTTCCCATCAATGACAACAATCCGTCCAGGCCGTGAGGCAGCAAAGCAGCCCCAAACCATGATGCTCCCTCCGCCATGTTTTACAGTGGGGGTGAGGTTTTGATGTTGGTGTGCTGTGCCTTTTTTTCTCCACACATAGTGTTGTGTGTTCTTCCCAAACAACTCAATCTTGGTTTCATCTGTCCACAGTATATTTTGCCAGTAGTGCTGTGGAACATCCAGGTGCTCTTTTGCAAACTTCAAACGTGCTGCAATATTCTTTTTGGACAGCAATGGCTTCCTCCGTGGTGTCCTCCCATGTACTCCATTCTTGTTTAATGTTTTCCTTATTGTAGATGTGTCAACAAAAATGTTAGCATGTGCCAGAGATTTCTGTAGGTGTTTAGCTAACACTCTGGGATTCTTCTTTACCTCATGCAGCATTCTGCGCTGTGCTCTTGCAGTCATTTTTACAGGACAACCATGCCTAGGGAGAGTAGAAACAGTGCTAAACTTTCTCCATTTGTAGACAGTCTGTCTTACCGTGGAAACATGAACATCAAGGCTTTTGGAGATACTTTTGTAACCCTTTCCAGCTTCATGCAAGTCAACAATTCTTGATCGTAGGTCTTCTGAGAGCTCTTTTCTGCGAGGCATGGTTCACATCAGACAGTGCTTCTTGAAACCAGTAAACCCAAAACAGGTGTGTGTTTTTTTAAGGGCAGGACAGCTGTCAGCAACACATCCAATATCATCACACTGATTGGAGTCAAGGTTGGCTCACTCCTGGCTCCAATTAGCTCTGGGAGAAGTCATTAAGCTAGGGCCTCACATACTCCCTGCACTGTGAATGTTTACATGTTATGTGCAATTAAACCATGGCAACATCTAATGTTTGCGTAGTATTATGTTCAGCAGACATTGTGTTCTAGTGTTCTTCTATTGTTGTGACTTAGATGACGTTCAGAGCACATTTTATGCCCAATTCATGCAAAACTCCACGTAATCCCAAGGGGTTCACATACTTTTTCTTGCAACTGTATATTAAACCATAAATTATACGTGAATAAGTGATAAATCCTTCAAGGATCTTTACACGTGATTCATCAAGTGATGATGTGCAAAACCTGGTCCCAAATATGGACCTATAATAAAGTGCAAAAAAAAAAAAAAAAACCACACACAATCCCAAGTAGGGATAAAAAAAAAGTGATATAGTGAATAACAACAATGAAATCGCTGAAAGTGACTGGTGCTAATACCTCCCAATAAATGTATCAAAAACTGATGAATACATAATAAAATAAATTACTAGCAATAAATAAAGTCCAAACACTGTGCAA